TCACTTCGCTGACAAGAATTAATGAGGCATAAACTTACTATCAATTCCTTAAATAAGATCCTTATATTCTTGTTGTTGGCAGAAAGACGACACTTGCTAAGTACTTTTGACAATTTCAAATTTTAATATTCACGGCGCAATTTTCCCCATACATAAGCAAATTCTAAGACGAAATATTGCGCCTTGAAGATGAAAATTTTGCCGAAAGTAATTGGCAAGTGTCTTCCATCTGACAACAATTCGAATATTAGGATCTTATTATTCAAGGAATTGATTACGTCTTGTTAGCGAAGTGATTTCGCCATTACTCACATTAACATTGTTATTTGATTATTTGTATAAATTGTTTCTTTTTATATATATATTTATATATATATATATATATATATATATATATATATATATATATCAGGTCTGTCGAATTTTGAATAAAAAAATCAAGTGACCAAATGTTACATTTAATTACAGATTCAATCAATAATGTATTTTCTCTGATTATCTATGACTTCCTTCCATCTATTAACAAGCTTACTAATTCCATTAATGCAAAATTCTTTTGGCTTTGATTCGAAGAACTCACAAATGTCGGTTTAAAGTTCTTCCTGTGTTTCTTCCAAATGATTCTGTAAGCTATGAAACAAATGGTAGTCTGAAGGAGCAAGATCGGGTGAATAAGGTGGATGAGGATATTTCTCCCAACCAAGTTCTTCGATCTTTTGTGACGTGATTCTTGCTGTGTCGGGTCGCGCATTGTCCTGATGAAACATCACCCCTTTTCGATTTACTAGACCAAGTCTTTTTTTCTCAAACCTTGGTTCAAACACTCTAATTGCTGACAATATATTTGAGGATTAATTGTTGCATTAGGTGGTAAGAATTCTCCTTTACCAAGCCACTGTCTACGACGCTTAAAATTTTCATAAAAGATCCATTTTTCGTCGCCAGTCACAAGTTAATCCAAAAAAGGTGAAACAAGTTGGCGAGCATGGAAAGAAGAGCAGATGTCAACTCGGGATTTGAGGTTGTTTTCAGACAATTCATGAGGCACCCATTTTCCAAGTTTAGGAATTTTTCCAAGTTGTTGAAGATGACGATGAACAGTTGTATGGTTTGATCTGAGAACTACTGCCAATTCCTCAACTGATAAAGCAGGATTTTCTTTCAAGGGCTGCTTCAAGAAGCTTTTCATCAAACCCAACTGGACGTCCGGTTCGATCTTCATCTTCAAAGGTGAAATCTCCGTCTCTGAATTTTGCAAACCATCTTCTGCAAGTTCTTTCATTCACACATTCCTTTCCATAAACCGAGTGAAAGTTTCTAGCCGCTTCGGCTGCCGAGTTTCCTTTCTTGAATTCATAAAGCATTATGTGCTTCAAATGATTCTTGGGTACTTCCATGTTAGCAGGGTTTTAATCAAACAAAATGTAATTTTATTGTTCTCTGAAATAAAATTTGATCAGTTTAAATGCATCCAAACATAAACATAATGTTCAGCTCCATGAGACATTATAAAATGTTCTTTTAAATTTCGTTCAAAATTTGGACAGAACTTATCGGATAAACTGATATATACAAATATTAAAATAATTGGAAAGAACAGTGGGATTTGAATCCGGTGTTCTTATCAATTATTTTTTTTAAAAAATAATAAAAAAGTAGAGCATAGTATTATAATTTTTTTAAAAATATGATTCCATGGAATCATATTTTAGAAAAAGACAATTATAATTATATATATATATATATATATATAATTATGTATATATATATATATATATTTATATATATATATTTATATATATATATATATATATATATATATATATATATATATATATATACATACAATTGTAACACTTTGTGTCTTGCGCTGTTTTGATTGACCTTTTAAACACATGATGAATATTCATCATCGTGATCAAATTTAAAATTTTGACAAATCAATGGCATCCTTGCTAGAACTGCCTCTTCAGTCAATGAATACCTAATATTACCAAATATGGAAGCGGTAAATATTAAAATTGTCATCTAATTTAAATTTTTCTACAATGAATTCCGAGTCATATCTATAGGCGAAAGATAAGGGTTTCTTTTTTTCTCATCGTTGAGTTTTGTAAAAAGTATGTCTAAGCTTTTGTCTCAAGGTTAACCATAAATATTTTACTCTCTGTCCCTGTCTCTCTTTCTCTCTCTCTCTCTCTCTCTCTATATATATATATATATATATATATATATCTCTATATATATATATATATATATATATATATATATATATATATATCAGTCTATCCATTATAGTTTAGGGTTTATGTGTCAAGAGTCATGTGTCCGTGTTATCGATTAGGATTGGCTTTTTCTCTCTCTCTCATTAAAGTGTATTGTTATGGCGACGCATGTCTCCTGTTGAATGATGAGTTTTTTCTATCCTCCCTTCTTTCTGTCTGTCTCTCTCTCTCTCTCTTTCCCTCTCTCTCTCTCTCTCTCTCTACCTCTCTCGTCCTTTTTCTTTCTCTCTCTCTTTCTTTCCTTCTCTCATCCTTTTCTCTCTTTCTCTCTCTCTTTCTTTCCCTCTCTCATCTTTTACTCTCTTTCTCTCTCTTTCTTTCCCTCTCTCATCCTTTTCTCTCTTTCTTTCCCTCTCTCATCCTTTTCTCTCTTTCTCTCCCTCTCTCATCCTTTTTTTCTTTCTCTCTCTCTCTTTCTTTCTCTGTTCTCTCTTATTAGATTTTTGTATTTATTGTGTCCAAACTCATGTCTCCAGATGTGTGATATGTGTTGGTAGTACACGCACATTCCGGTCATAATAAGTAGTAATATTTTGCATTCAATTTATAATTAAGTATATTAGAAAAAAGTTTAAACAAATTTACCGTTAAAACTAAAACAATAGTTAGTCGCACAAGCATTCTAAGATCGCATTTGAAAAGCATTGAAACAGACGTCAGTAACTATGAGCAGGCGGTTAAATAAATTCCAATGTTTTGCTTTATTGGATACTGAGAAAAATCAGATTAAAAATTAAAATAAGTTGAAAATGATTCTATCTTGTGTTTATTTGTTGGATGTAATAGTTTAGTAGGAGCGAGAAGAAACAACAGTAGCAAAAAAGCGAGGCTTCAATTCTAATTCAAAGGAAAAAAATTTTCAATTTACCTAATGGAAGAACGTTGTAACATAATGCTAGTTTTTATGTGTAGCTAGGAGAACAACTTGGAAATAAATTCCCAGATGACATATAAAAGAATTTTAATCATTCTTTGTAACAATGAAAGGATGTTTCTATTGAGAAACGAGAATATGAATGATCCCATTCAGAGAGTAACAATTTTGTTAATGATAATCTACAGAAAAATCCCTTTCTACATGCTATTAAGGACACAAGTTACAGATCGAATACGTTAACCTGATTCAACATATTTTAGGGGAAATATACGATTTGTAATTACTCAAATGTGGTTTGCCATTATTGGCAGTGAAGTTGGGATTTATTGTGAAATGGTTTCCCATTGCTTTCTCCAAAGTAATTCCCTTGAGACACCATCTTTGGATATAGACTTATCAAGGCTTTTTACACCCTTTGCTGAGAATGACATGAAATGAAGATGTGTGTAATAAGAAACTTCTATAGAAAATGGAAACAAACGTGTATACATAAGTTGGAAGTTTTGTTTTTTAAAAAAAGACGGAAAATGTCACCTCAAAATCAGAATACGCATTGAATTCTAAAAACTAAAAATAAATACCAGTAAACAAAGAGACAAAGAAAAGAGAGATGAATTGCATTATCGTATCAATACTCTTGTATGATATTGAATGCTAGATAATTTCTCTGCAGATGAAGTGAACAGTGGAGGCAATAGAACTGTGATTATGCGGAAGATTACCGAGAATTTCATGACTGGAGCGAGTAAGCAACAAGGACTTCTCAAAGATAATGCTAACAAAAAGAACAGAATCAGATTATATATATCGGACACATACTGAGAAAGGAGTGCTTGGAATGTTTAACACTCCCAAGGCATATCGAGGGCAAAAGATATAAGAGGAAGCAGCGTGCCACCTACCTGACAACCTTGTGAGAATGGGTTGAGGAACCCGATATGAGAGGCTTGTCAATGTAATGGTGATGATTTATGATCGTCCATGTTCTGAACGGCAACGCTACCTAGAAGAAGTAAGTGGATGACAGAACAGGGAGTTGGAGTGGTGCTTAAAATACAAACAGAGCTAAGAGGATAAATGATTGAAAATTGTGAAGAGACATGGTCACCCATATACTAAAGGACATGGGCCAAAGAAAAAGATTCACTGAATATCTTCCATACCAACAGAAATATTTATTGAAGAAAATGTCAAAAGCTAAGCAAGAGAAATAATGATGAATTGACGGTAAAGCGATTATGGCTCTCCACAGTCATCCTTTGCAATCAACAATACTTTTTTCTTTATAACTTTTATATTGATCAAGTTCACCTCAAGCAAGAGAGTAAAGCCACTAAGACACAAAAGCTGTTGAAGAATTAGAAAGCAGAAACTTTAGTAAGGAGCAAAAACCAAACGGAGAGTATGCAGCAAGACAGTAGAAAGCGACTGATATTGTATTTAAAGAGAGTTCCACGATCGAGATGTGCGATAAAAAACAGCTAGCATAAAACTTATAGCCAACTTAACTTGTATATTGGTGAGATCTTCTTGGGTATTGCGCTAAAATTCATGAACTCTATGTACCCTGACGAAGAATTTATCCGAACTGTTGCTATGGAATTATTTATAGGAAAGGCACGGGGAGGCAGGCTTACGGCGGTTAGGAAGTGACTTGAAGACGGGATGCAAGATCAGGGGAGGCAGGCTTACGGCGATTGGGAAGTGACTGAAGACGGGACGCAAGATCATGTGGAGGCAGGCTTAACGCAGTTGGCAAATGACTGAAGACGGGACACAAGATCACCGGGAGGCAGGCTTAAGGCGGTTGGGAAGTGACTTGAAGACGGGACGCAAGATCACGGGGAGGCAGGCTTAACGCGGTTGGCAAATGACTGAAGACGGGACGCAAGATCACGAGGAGGCAGGCTTAAGGCGGTTGGGAAGTGACTGAAGACGGGACGCAAAATCACAGGGAGGCAGGCTTAAGACGGTTGGGAAGTGACTCGAAGACGGGACGCAAGATCACGGGGAGGCAGGCTTAAAGCGGTTGGGAAGTAACGAAGACCGGACGCAAGATCACCGGGAGGCAGGCTTAAGGCGGTTGGGAAGTGACTGAAGACGGGACGCAAGGTCACAGGGAGGCAGGCTTAAGGCGTTTTTTGAAGTGACTGAAGACGGGACGCAAGATCAGCACGAATAAGCTGTCTTTATCTTTGTATATCTTGTTTCCCAATAAATATGATCAAAATTAGCAAGTGGTTCGTGGCTAATTTTCATTGTTTCTATTGCTTTTGCTATTTTCATATGCTTTGATTACTCCAAGCCTTTTTTTTCCTTATTGCCAACCTCTCGAAATTCAACTTTCTCATTCTGATTGTTTTTGGTAGTTACGGTAGCTTTTATTATGTTATAAACGTCTTCATTTGTCATATTCTATTCCTTGGTGTTATTAGCATTCGTCATGAGGACAACGTCTTGATCTACTCAAGTTTTTCAAGCTTAGATAGATCTAAAATATAATCATGATGATAGGCTCTTTTTTTCAGGAGGTTGATTTTGCTTTTTAGAGTTTTGATTTTGATTTTTCTTTGTACGATGGACGTTTCAAAAATATTGCTTCAGTTTTACAACCACGAAACTACAACAGATAGAGGAAGCGTATAACACTGTTAGATATCTTCACCTTTCATTTAAAAACACTATTTCTCTACAGTTTCGCAATAGTGATGATATTGTCAGGAAAAACCTTTGCTTCTGACCAATCGTCTATCGGAATGAACGTGGCTTATCAGACACATCGCTATCGCCACTGTTGAAAACGCACTGGACTGGTTGTGTTCATACCAGCTGTCTTCTCTGGGTAAAGTTTTAGAAAGGGTCGAGGAATGTCCATGTGCAAAATTTATTCGTATCGAACAATTCAATGATACACTTGTGCTTAATATGCAGTTTAATGTCAAGCAACATTTTTTTGCTATATGTTCCAATGCTTGTCCTGCTATCCACGTATAAGCTCGTTACGTAGGTTATTCTCTGTTTCTCTGTAGCTGCTTTACCTTCAATATATGAGTGTCAAATTCAGTAAGCCCTCGAGGACACATGACAGTGGATAAAAGCGTTAGTTACATCCAGTGACAGGACCCAAAGACTGAGAGTTCAATACCAGTTAAACCAGTGGAGAACTTGGAGAGGGGGAATTAACAGGAGATAACTGATAACTGACACCCATTAAACATGGCACGCGGAAGTAGAACAGTCTACCTCAGTGAGCGAAATAAATGGTTTTCGACATTCCAACCACCTGAAGAAGTCCGGAGTATACAACAACCGAAACGTTGTAATAAATATGGCGACAAAAATGAGGACAATAGTCTGAATAATGTAAATAGCGTACATAATACCTCATCTCCGAAATATAAACAGATACAGCGGTTTTTTTGTTCCATTTTCTTTAAAACTACTTCTTTACAGACATAAACCATCCATAGTATTCTTAAATGAATCCCTAGAACGATGTCTCAGTTGTTTTAAGTTTCCTTTCATCTGCGAGAAGATCGTCCAGCAACCAGACTCGCGTAACAACACATTTTTTTTTTTTTTTTTGCTTTTTAATGTAAGCTTCCTCTTAATATTTTGCATAGCTTTTTGTAGGTATATTTCGTTATATCAATGCGCCATCGAATTACGAATGTGCGGCTGAATAATGTTAAATACGTCTTATTTTCTTCTTCTAAATTAACCAGCCATGTTTCGTATTTTTATATTTTTTTATATATCATCATTATAATCCTCTTGACCTTTGTAATCGTCGGTGGGATCTGAATGCAGAAAACACTTCAAATCTTCTCCACAACGGTCTATCAAAAACAGCCATCAGCAATTCTGGTATAATTATACCGGTCTATTGTTTGACATTGTCGAACCAGTTTAAACGTTGGTTTACACTCTTACGGTGCCTTGTATTATGGTCTTGCACAGGTTGTCATGCCTTGTGAAATGCCCCAACCACGCCATTTTTCTCCGTTTGACAGTGGCAAGAAAAGGTTCCTGGTGGCCCACAAAACCCTTTTTTATATATAAGTGCATTGAAATAATTATAAATCCTACCATAAACGTGGTCTTTAAACGAGGATGAAAACTACTACCGCTCGCGAACCTACCAGTTGATGCTATTACCTAGCTGTTGTTTTAAGTATCGACAATCTTTTATAAACAATGAAAATTTTTGTGTTTTGTTTCCAGGAACATCAGGATTAGGTAATTAGAAACCAGCTTCTAGACCATGCCAAATCTCTCGAAGTCATATCTTGAAATATAATTGATGTAATTGAAATATAAATGATGTAATAACCTGTAGCCCCCATGAGTGACTACACTATAGGTAGTAACTACCTTTAATTATCTGTAAGTCAACGGACTAAAGAGACTAGCTGGGATCTGTTCCAGCTAGACAGTCGAACTCTCTGCTCGGGCAGAGAGGAACCCGGACGAGGCTCCGCCGAAGGGCAGAGTCTCATTCGTGGAAGTAGACAGACCTGAACCCGTTTATGTGGGGTATACGTGGAAATTTTTGGCCGAGCCTACGGGCTCGCATTGCCCCACATTAAATTTGGCCTTGTGGGGAGTTTAGTAAATATTTCTAGCTGGGTTCTGTTGAGTACGATTTAGGTTTACGCGAGAACTACCGACGTTCCAATAGTAGCCCTCATACTGAATTGACTTACGACGACCTTGTGCATATCTGTTACCTTTATTCTTATTGTACGGGTTTTTACAATAAATCTTTACTTATTTTATCCACCATTTTTGTCAAATATATATTCCTATTAGAATGGAATATAACAATAATATAAATAGCTGTCTTAAACCAAAGTAATTATGTATTTGCGCTTGTTTCGCTTGACAAATATCTTGGTTCCAGTAATCCTGATTTCAATTACTTTCATCTAATCAAGGTATGCTTAGTAGATTTAATTTGTGACAATTGGATGGGCCGTCTCCAAGAAGGCAAAAAATTATTAGTTTTTTTTTTTTAATCTTCACCGTCTTTTGATTTTATTATCTAATGACCTTTCGTGTAATTCGGTGCATTTTCTGGATGCTGCAAAAACAAGTACGAACCGGATTAGTTTGATGCAATAATCTTGCATCTGCAGAAAAGGTAGGGTAGCTTTTATCTTTTTCACTTGATCAACTGAATTTTTCCGATAGCATTTTTCCTTCCCGGCATTCGTTTTGATGCTACTGATTATATTTGTGCTAGAAATAAGAAGGAAAAAATCCAAGCAGAGTAAGACAAAAAAAAAAGTATGATGAAAAAGTCAAGAAGATGTAGAGACTGAAAAGAAAGAAAGGAAAAGAAATGGAATTACAAGACAATTGACATTACGAAAAGAAATAAATACACAAACGGTGAGTGACAAACAAAATAACAAAAAAGGGGTTATGAAAGGAAATTTATTTGCTAGTGAAATTGAAGGATGCAAGGCCGACGCCATCGCAAATGTCATTCTCTGAGTTTGTCGGCTTGACATTTTTGACAAATGTGAAGTGCCAAACGGAAGCAGCTTAAAACACTCCACCCCAAACTTAATAACTCAAAATGTATGGAATAAAAGATGAATATAAAAGACAAATGACCAGGTTAACAGTTCCAGAAAGTTATTGTCTTGTCATTCTCTAGTTATTAAAGATTTTTCTAGAATTGTATCTTCTGATATGAAGAAAGTTTTTTTCATCCGGATTTGCTTGTAAAATTAACGATTCTTTCGTCGCTATGCTAATTTTAATAAAGGTAGCAATAGCGATATTTCTGACAGGTGAGAAACAGTGACATTTACAGACTGATTGATTGGTTGATTCAGATCATAGCGATAAGCCATTTTTGATGGAACGGTTGACAGTTAATTGTTAATAGAAAGAAACTGCATTTCTAAATTTGAGTGACGTATGAAAGAAATTCAGCTGTAATTGCCAACAGAAATAAATCTGCAATTAAAGCAGATTTTTGTAGAAAGCGGAAACATAAAAGACAAACTTACAATAATATTCTTTTGCACGTAACTTAAGCTTTCATTATATATCTGTGTAAAATACGATGTCATATAAAAAAAAAAAAATACACTACCCAAACACACACACACACACACACACACACACACACACACATGTATATATATATATATATATATATATATATATATATATATATATATATATATATATATATATATATATATATATATATTTAAAGTAAAAACAGACCACATTTTAAGGTACCATTATAATAATTTATTTCACCAGAGTCCTCTGGATTTACATTTACTTTATACTCAGGAGTCATTTTTCATCCTAAAAGTTTGGGATTTTTTGTACGGATTACCAAGTTCATCTAACTAATTCATATTAATTTTTTTTTTTTTTTTAAATATATATACATAGTTTCAATTCATACAGACTTTAAACTTTTGAAAATGGATTAGACTATAAAGTCCGACAATTATTTTTAAGACATTTTTTATGTTAAAAAGTTTTGTTTACCAGAACAGGTTTTAATTTATACAATTTTTTAAAAATTTAAAATTACATAGTTACAAATATTTTAACAGAAAATAGTAAGTATAATTATTTTCCATAACAAAGTATTTGTTTATATTTAAAACAGTAATTAAAACAATATTCACTGGCCTGAATGTTCGATTAAAAATTTTCATAGAAAATATTCGTCCTACGGAACCGTCATTTAGCTTGACATGCCTTTAACCGATTTGGCCACAGAGGAGCGTTCGGTTAGTTTAAAGACAGTAAAATCGACCTTGCTAAACAAACGCTCGTCTGTGGCCAAATCGGTTAAAAGCAGATCAGTTTATATGACCGTTTTGTATCAGATACAGGTTTGATTCCTGTTGTAGGACGAATTTTTTTTGTATAAAAAGTTCTTGGATAATGTTGTTTAATAATGTTTATTATAAACAGAGTATTTTCTTAATTATTTTTATCTATAAAAAATATATAAATATAAAAAATGTCTTAAAATGATTGTATCTTGACTTTAGCTAATCTATTCTTTACCCAAAATTATATTATATATATATATATATATATATATATATATATATATATATATATATATATATATATATATATATGTTTGGAGGCATGGCGGAGT